ATGCAATAAAAACCGCGAGAAGATCAAAGTTTGGCTCGTGAACGAAATTGCTCTTCAAGACAGCAAGTCTGTAGTAACGACTGTGAGTTTGAACGGCCGAGTCCCGCTCGTGATAAGATTAAGTGGTGCGAAACGAGAAAGTAAAGATGGAGAAGAATGACAAAAGCTTTCTATATGCCCTTTTTTGAGAATCGCTCGCAATCTTTAAAGACTGATCATGATATTCGAGTCGCGTTCGTCCAACTTGAATCTCACCGCGACTTTACGAGCGTAAGTCTTTTTACAATCTCCAACTTCATTCGCCAAGTTGGACACGCGCGCTTAAAAGAAGTTCTTTATCTATCGTTTCTTTATCAAGAAATAACGTAGATAACTTGAACAAATTGAACGATTCAAGAATCATCTTGAGTAAATGTAGATATATAAAATTAGATCAAACTGACACAACGTTTTGTTCCGGGGCATCATGCTAAATCATTTTTGTCGTTTTCATGAAACAATGTTATTGGATAATTTATTGATCCATGATATTGGCTTAGACGACATCAATCACCTATTGTTATAAAGACCAGTTCGTCATAAATGACGAACGTAACATAATAACGGTGCATGAAAGGAATATAATTACTGCTATGCTACAATGGAAGTATGATCCTTTTGAAGTTCGAATAATGAGACAAGGTGCGCGTAACCGGTAGCATGTTGCGTGTATTCTCGTGTGTGAGTAATACGTGAATTAAATACGCATGTCTGATTCACAATGCAGTCTTCGTGAATCTATACACACTGTAATAGCAAGATACCGCGCCACTGATCCGTTTTTCTATGATGCGTCATCGAAATTCAAAGAATAAAGCGCATCAATTTACACTTTATTCCTCTACTCGTTTTCTGCAATAGACTCAAAAATAGACAAAGATAATAAAAGTAAATCAAATAATATAAAAAATTCTATTTTTGATCGAAGTGGATTTTGGTAGTTAATAATATCTATATACAAGTGCAAATACATTTTTCAGTTCTATAAAATACGCGTCGATTCAATTTGTTGGATTTGAAACGCAATCATAAATTGAAGCTAAAAATAACATCACAAATTATATTGATCGTTAATAATGCTAATAAATCTTAAAATACTGTAAAAAATTTATTTTGTAAAAAATATCACCTCAGTCAAGGTTTAAATCTGAAACTCCTCCTAACTTTTTAGGACGTCTAATCAATTTGATCACTATATGGAGATATTTTTTACAATAATTAGTGAAAAAAATGTCATTTTTCAAAGAGATGTGTACAAACAGTCATATAAATGGAAATTAGATTAATTATTAAATATCAAAATTTGCTTTGACTAAAAATAAAATTCTTTCTATTATTTGATTTATTCTCATCAGTTTAATTTCCATTCATAAAAACAAGAAATGTTCTGATGAATACGTAATAAAACTTTCTTTTTTTTCAAACATTATAACATAATTTATTATTTAATGACCGAGTTAAAAAATTTAACTCGCGGAAAGAAATGCTTTATGCAGAAAAAACTGGAAAAAGCTTCATTACTTTCATCAAGCGTTATTGATAACTTGGTATAAACTTGGCATACAGAGTTGTATGACAAATGACTTTCAACCCCATTTATGTCGACTTAATACGACGTGAGAGACTATCCATCTCCGATTTCTGCTTACAGTAGTTAGTCTTCTCAGTATCGCGCAATATTCACCGGAAGCATCAACTGGATTTCAACCTTTTCACGTCACGAAAGTTGGAAGTTTCAACACCGGGAAACAGCAAGTACTTGGTATTCGGGTGTTAATTAATCGACAACATTTTAAGATAGATACTTGAGTTACCGATTCGAGAATCGCTTCTCTCTCACGTCTTCCATAAACTCACCCCCTTCCATCTATCCGTTCTCTTTTGTATGCAATCTCTCCTTCTCTTCCACCTCCACATCTTTCATCGCTTGATAGCACCGCAAGTTATTACAACAATTCTCCATCTCTCTCGGGTACTCTTGTTACCCGCCGTTAATTAGAGTACAGTCTGCTACCGACGACAACTAACTGCAAAGGAGAGTCTTCAGCAGCGGCGATCCTATATTCCACCACTTCGTTTCCCCTTCGCTTAAACTCACTCCGAGTTCTCTCCCGCCTGATCCACCATCACTGGAGCACGATGTTTGCGGCTTGAATTATTCCGGCGGATCTACACGCAACCCTGGATCACGCTTTAAAGGATCCGCTTGTCTAGCCTAGTCGTTACCGCGACGACATCGCTTACGACGAAGTCAGGATCTAACTGGAGAGACCTACTAAATGGACGGAGGACGCGTAACGATCTAGAAGATTGATGCGCCACAATGGCGCGTTATACTAGGTTCTCAGTTCTGTTACTACGGTATGCTATGCGTTGCTACTTTGGACTTTGAATAAAGCGACATTCCACTTGGCGAATGTGTATCACATTTGCATCGTCATGCTTATGTGTTGAATATATTTCTGTAACTTGCTCCTCCTAACTTGTGTTTATTAACAGAAACTTGACGTGATATAACACGGATTACTTCTGGATGAAAATATAGCAACTAAGTACTTAATGTCATTACAGAAATTAAACACTACATTGCAAAATTAAAATATTAAAATGTTAGAGTACTCTCTAACAGAATATAACTTTAATTTTAGATTATAATTTTTAATTTTTAGAAATATCACTCGATCGTTATGTTTCCTATTACAAATGTTAGCGAGTAAATCTCGGAAAGGCAAGGAAGGCGCAACTTTGCGACTTGTTCATTAAGACAAACAAGGTAAGATACGTTGGAGTTGTAGAACGGTAGTGCTTAATTTCTCACGATGAAGTTCTAGTGATTAAGACTGCGATCAGACTTCGCGGAAGTTGCAAACTCAAGGACGCTCACCTTCTCATATCAGCTTATACGCGGCCTGTAACGGTAACCTTAGACATAACTGAAGAAAATTGAGTTACTTCGGGCACGTTTCAGATTGATTTCTAGGTAGCAAGGCCCTATATCTTTCTACGGAGCGAAGCGTGATTGGTTTTCAATCCGTTCTACGTGGATCGAATGATCATTCGGTAAAACTCTACTTGGGCTAAACCCTCTTGCAATATCGTTTTCTATGTGTGCGATAATTTGATCCTACTGTAGATACATTGTTACAGATTCCAGATCTCCACGTTTTTCTCTCGGGAGTACGTAGAATAAAATACTGTCTATCTGTACTATCGACAATCCAACACAGTCGGTCGATCATTTTTATAACATATTTTATAATTTCGATTTTTAATATTACAATATTTGTAACAATACAAAAAAAATTTCTCTGATATAATCGTTTTATGTTATGTATTATGAGTAAATTTAAATAAATGCCACATTTTATGTCCAATTATTTGCGAAAGTATGACACGTAATACTATATTTCGACGATATTCCCGCATTGTGTATCGCGTTATATGAGTTTATGGACCGCACAATCTACTTATCATCGCAGCATCTGCGTATATGATACAATTTCATTAATATATACACAAAAGTGAGGTCGTAAAGTGAAATAGTTATAGATGGGTAGTAACTATCGATTTAAACTTTCAACGGTGATAATTAACAGTAAAATATATTAAAACCATCCAGTCTAAATTATATAACGGACTATTCCTGTAATTCGATTATTGCAACGTCCATCAGGCGGAGTGACGGCATTAACGGATAAATGTCCCAGGTTATAAAAATTTAATGTCCGTCGAGATCTGAATACTCGTGAGATTGCTTTTCTCTTAAGCGAGTATTTTATGCATTTATCATCATTCCCAGTTTGACGTTCCCTGTTATGCGAGCAATAGATTAAATTCTGAACTAATTTTTCCAAAGAAATATCATTATAATCATTTACGATTGCATTAATGGAACATATCTTCACAGCAACATCCAATTTGCTCCAATATCTTTATAAAATTTGGATTAAAATTTTCTTTTAAAGCACTTTAAAACAATAAAATAATATTAAGTACAAAAAATATTTAATGTTCTATTTTATTATTCTGTCAATCTCATTTGTAAAAAAACTTTAAGCCAATATTAGTTAATTAAAGTAGATGTTATCATCTGCTTTATTTTATAATATATTATTTTAAGGAGCATTGGAATTTTTAACATTTCATTAATACCATAGTAACATGCGTTTGAGGATTTCTACTACCAACTTTAGATAAGTTCATTTCACTTTGATGTCTCTTTTCTCAATTGCCGTGCAGAAAGCTGATGCACCATTGTACTCGTTTGCGAACTTTCAGTCGTGGCTCGTTAATTGACACTATCAATCCTTCGTACAGGTTATCGTGAAGCACATTTTCGCGTTCGCCACTCGTCGTTTGTGCTATAACCCTGATTGCCAAAGTTCGAATCGTTAAAAAAAGATTCGGAGAAATGCGAAAAATAACGTTGCGTGATATTTCATCGTTTACTGCGCCGCTTCTTTTCTTCCTTTTTCGCTTTCCCGTCGGACGAATGAAAATATGTCGCGTAAAAAAGAGGAAACGCATGTGCGCTCGTTTTGACATGTTTTTTCAGCTCGAAACGAAGCGACGAGGTCCAAAGCATAATTTATCATAATGTATTATTATATGAAAATGAAGATTAGTGTACGTGACAACTGCAACTATCGCATGTTCATACATTCCGCGGGCAAATCACGAGAAATAATAAATGACGTTAATAAGTCACATGCATAAGAAATTAGTGACATTATTATATTTTAATTCTGACAAATTTAACATTTACTTTATATTTTACAGCGTTCACCTTTTTCAGTCGAATCATTTCATCATAGCGCTTCACCAAAAATATTGAAGTATTTAAAATTATAAAAATTATAACTAGAGAATATTAATTCAATTTTATCATAAAATACAGTCTAACTTTCTTTCTGTTTCGCTATCATCGCTTTGCAATGGTAAAGAATAACAATTGTACTCACTGTATCCTCCCACGTAGATTGGTGTCCATGTTACTTGAGTATAGGCCAAGGGAGTTGCTGCGAATAACACGGCGCTGAACCATACCGCCCGACGTACCGCACTCATTTCACTAACGGCCTCGATAGTCGTCATTTTTTTCTCACGTTTCAATCAGTTCTCCGTCTCGACATCATCTTCTCCGACATGCCTCCGCTACTCCTCTCCGCTTTTATTCGCTACGCTCGTTCCTCTTTTTTCTCTCTTTTTTTTCCGTTCGAATACGGGCGCCCAACAATACGTCACTGCTGTTGAATACCTACGCAATCGAACGAAATTCTCGATACTACCATCGTTTTATTCCACCGCATCTAATAACTGGTGTTTTCATATCATTGCGATCTGAACATTGCCGCTCGACGGATATAATAGCTCGAAGGAAATTAGAATACGCTGCTGCGTGATTTATACACGCATAATATTTATATGCAATTCAATTAAAGTTCTCAAAAGAATGATTTAAAGAATTTCATTAAATCAAGTCTGCGTAATGGGAGAGAAGGATATTGACATGCGAATGGATTGCCGAGGGATGAAGATTCAATAGCGATATTAATTTTAAAAATCGAAGATAGAGAAGATATCAAGATTTGTGCCATTGATTGAAAATAGAAAAGAGTGAAGAGAGTTTTTATTATGCTCGCGAGTAATTAATCTTGCGGATTCTGGGTCATGGTCGAGTGCGACGATAGGACTGACTGGCGAGGCAGCGAAATTAATTAATTAAGCACGATCACGCGTCTCCGCTCTAATTGATACTCGACACGAATTGATGCTTAACACACTCCGTTATATTACCATTGATGATAGATATGGAAATTTGGAATAAAAGGGATAGCGGCTCGTCGTTGTTTATCAGACGCACTTTTTCCGCGTCATTGAGCGAAATAGCTTTACATCACGTAAAATTTTGCACTCTCGCTGCCGTTATTCCTCTTCTCGGACAGAATCTTCATTTCTGCACGAGTCCTGATTTATGCACCCTATACTTCACGTTCCTTCTTCTCAGAACGTATTACTCCGTTCCTTCGGGTATAACATGAAGACACAATCATCGCTTTTACCGACGGCGATCGCGAGAGTAATGGCCTTTCTACTCCCGTTGCTCTCGTTCTTCTCTACTTTTTTACGCTCGTAACATGTGCGAGACCGTTACCACTATTTTCTGCCTTTTTTCTTCCTTTCAGATCCACCGGACGCCGAATCTTTCTCACTCCCAAGCGGAATTAGACTCATGTAGACCTTTACTCGTCTTCTTAAATTCTTCAATGCCCAGATCAAAAAGTTTTTTTCCACCGATACGAAATCCCGTCTGCAACAAAATAGCAAAATATTTCATTAGAAGAGTTCCTTTGACGGATGATCATTAAGAGATGAAGACCAAGTCTCAAAGAACTCCTGTGGAAAATTCCAAGACTAAGGGAAACTAAGGGAAACTATTGGAACCTATTTTCCGCAGATTTACGCGACCGACGGAAGCGGCTTTTCTAAATTAAAGTATTTGTCACATTTTTCACGTGGAATTTTTATTTATTTGCACAATAAAAATAAAAATTCAAAAATTCTACTCAAGAATTGTGTACATAGAACTTGAATATTCAGTAATATTATTAAAGTATAAATAGAAAAATTTTTAAATTAAATTAATTGGTAAATCTCATATTAATCATTTTAATTGATAAATCAATATCATAAAATTTATATTGATATATTATATATAATAATAATAATAATAGTATATGTAAATATACTTGTTTATAAAATACAAATATACACATAGTATCGGAGAATTGTATTTTTTAAAATAATACATCATTTTGATTCAATTGCCGATTACTTATAAATATAATGTAACAAAATTAATATAAAATTTTTAGAAATAGATATCTATCGCAAAGATAGATAAATTGAGAATAAGAGAGAAAATGTCTTCAATAACTATTTAAAAACTTAAAAAAATATGTTAAATAAAAAATCACTCCTCTATTCATTAAATTTTATCGCTTATTTTATCTAATTTTTCTGAATATAAAACGTGAGAGCGGACATAATAATTATCTTATACGGTTACTTTAATTTTCGTCACGTCTCAATTGGAATGAAATTCATATCGCAACGAGCGAGAAGAGACCGCATAGTTTCTAGGACTCGGCTACGATGGCATTTGCATTTTCATCTGCTTGGAAATGTCGTCGATGTCTCGTTAGCGTATCTCCATCGAGGCGACGAGTGGTGCATAAGACGGAGGTCATGGTTTCCCTGTAATTTCATGAGGTCTATAGCGAGGACTTTGGAAGCCGAAGAGGATGACGACCCCATTATATGGTGATGCTAGCGGAAAGCGGAGAGGGAGTTGACAATTCAGTTGTACATAATGTGACAAGCCAAAGTTATCCCATCATTTTGCCGCCAAGTGTTATTCACTCATCGTTATCTATCGCCGGTTTTATCACGAGCTTGTCCAGCAGTTATGAAAGCCACTCTGCGTTCTGCAAGGACGACCTTTATACATTACCTCATATAGCGCATCGGTGGACACGATCGGGTGCTTAGCTGCAGAAACTACCTGTTCTTCTCTTCCTTCCCCCACTTCTAGTCCTTACTATGCACTTATCGCTCGTCTGCCTTATTAGCTCGCTATCTTCTTAACTGCTCTTAACACTACTTTAACCGAGATTCCTGAACACTTTCCTACACTGTAACATTTTCCGGTCTACGATTACCTTCAAAGTAGAGAGCAACTTGCAACTTTCGCCGTCGCATCATTTCAGGATAAAGAAAGTAACTCTGTTAAGGACGTTTTTCTTAAGTATAAACTCAACTCGTGTAAATAACAGCATTTCATAGTCTTTCTTTTTCTTCTTCCAACATTCATTTGTTTGGACAAAATTCTTTTCTCTTCTCTGTCTCTTATATCTCTTTTTGTATCATGTAGAAGTAAAAAAAGAGAAATGTTGGACGACAAATAACTACCTCTTTTCTTCCATCAAAATAGAAATAATTGCGTTAGAAGGTCTGACCAGATGCTGACTTTATCTACTAGGATATTTTTACAATTGCAATGTTTATTATTCTTTCTTGTCATGCTTTCAATTATTTTTTGTCGCACCACGGATACAAATGATATTTTTATTAGATTATTTGTTGGATTAAAATGTATTTTTACATAATATATCTGATTCAAATTGTTCCGCAATAGTGGTTTTTAGTTATTCCATACCTGATCTCGTATTCAACAGCCATCTCGTTTGATCGCCTCTTACATACGATCCTCCAATTATAATTCGCCACTCCCGTCAGACACCTTCATTGTAACGTGTCAAATGTTTCCCCTTCCAGAAGTGTTCGCCCTTCCTTTTATTCTCTTTTCTTTTTTAAGCAATCTCCATTGAGAAGCAACTGCCGCTATAAACGGATCTATTCGAAAGGTGCCAATGTAGTTAATTTAATCCAGGTGCTGATTGGACACGCAGCCAGGGAAATAGTGATCGAAATAGAAGAAGAAACATGTAACTGGAGTCAGTATGAAAGAGCGAAAAAGAAAGCCGTAAGTGGCTTGTGATTATGTCATGCAATTATGGCTAGTTCCGTTTGATAAAACCGACCTAACGGTAAAAGAGGGTTTCGGTGAAGGAGAATCAGCGGTTACCAGAATGTCAACGACACAAAGGCCGGGTCAACTCTGTCTCTTTTTTCCTCTTTCTCTCCCTTTCTATATCTCTTCCCAGCCCAACAATCTGCAATTTGCTTTTCGCTCGGAAATGTTTTCTATCCAAATTGTCTCCGTTTTCAGTTATTACGTTTCACTATATATATATAGGTGAGTAGAAATAATGCTCTGATAGTTATTATAATTGAGTATTTTTCGCATGTCGCCAACACAAGTAATAAAATTTAATGTTCATGCTAAGACTAAATGGCCAAGTTCTCCATAGGAAGATCAAATGTCCGAAGAGGCAAATAGCTACGAGTAAATAACATTTCTCGTTGCAAAGATAATTACTCGGGCCGCAGTTCGCACGAGTTCAAGCCGTGTGTCTGGAGTTTGCCTCGTTTCGTCCCTCTCTCCCTCTCTTTCTCTATCTCTCTCCTTTCCTCACCCTTTGTCTAACCCTGTTTCTTGATGCCCGGCAACTTCTCGTTTAGCACCGCCGCAAATTAGCCTGCAACCGCGTTTTCTGCGTCCATCTACAGCGCTGCAGTGAGCGCGTACGCCGTTTTCGTTTCAAGGTGAAGCACATGTTCTTTGGCCGAGACTTAATTAAAGGAACGCTATCTCTTGTGGAGATATTAGCTCGCGCTGCCTGGTTTAATTTAATGCTCATTAAATGTTCATTTAATAAGGTGAAAAGAATTATGTAGGGCTCAATCATCTTTGACTTGAAAGGGTAACCAAAGCATAAATAATAGCTATATGAAATATAGCTCCTCTCGCACAGGTATGCCTTTGATAGCACTAAATATTTCCAACATGCAAAATTTCGAATTAAATCAGAGAGACGCGAATAATAAATTTATAATCGAATATATGATATATTTAAAAAATCAGAAAAAAAATTTAGATGTTATACTAATAATTCGTCATTCGTTATAATATCTTGAGACAATAAAGATGTTAACATTGACAATAATTAGTCTGCTGATTTCTGCTGTAAATGTGCATGGTTATTGAATGTACGACGAACTAACATAATTATTAATCGAATTAGGCTTCAATTAAACGGAATATCGATTAATTACGCATCAGAATGTATCTTAACACGTCCACAATCAAGGCCTTTAATTGTCTGTGGCTCTAGATGACTGTGCGCTTCGTAGTATAATTAATCATCTGACCATCCTGCCGATCAAACCACTCGAAGTGATCTTTCTTGTGAATCACTAGCTGTAAATTCGAAATTAACGAGCAAAGTCATTCGCGCGTCACATTAAGATTAACACATATATAATGATACTGAGCAACAAAATGTTACATACAATTTTATTGCAAGATGTGGAAGATAAAAATTAAATAGACACTAAATAAATTTTAATTTAAATTATTATATTTAATATTACTATGTGCTTACATAAATTCTCTATACATTTATATATAGTATAATCATTTTTCAAATATTACACAATAGAAATTGTAGGATAATTCGTTTGTAAATATCCAGTTTATCGAGAGAACATATTTCACTAGTAGTATTTGTTGAAATATGTAAAGTAGAAGCAGCCATGCTTAGTTGGCTTCGGTTGTCGTTTGTTGTTATAGTT